CTACATGTCGACAAGGAAACAGAAGAGAGAAATAAAGGTCACGATGCAGCAGGTAGCTGAAGCAGGTGGTGGTCGCATGCAGCTACAGAGAGGAAGGCGACCCGAGGAGGAGGAGATGCATAAACTGTGTCACCAGCTCCCCAAATGTGGTTAACTGTGACATGGACAAACCTTTGATGTTATTCCAACAGAAGCGAAGCTAAAGTGTGTGACTTTCTCATCTATAGAGATGAGAGAGGAGAGTATTAGTCCTCACACGTCGAGGTCAGCGCTATTTTACCAAACCAGGGCAGTTAAAACCATAGAAAAGTAGAATAACCTGATGTAAATAATCGTGTTAAAATGAAACATTGTAAACAATGATCACTTAATGGTATAAAAGAACATTGAAAATCCACAAAAATAGTAATTTGTTGTACATCCAGACATATTCTGATATCGACTGGTATGAAAACATAATTATAATAGGATACATTTCTATCCCTAAGCTGCCATGTTAAACCAACAACATACTGTATCTCTTTAAGTTCATCCGAGATTTCAATAATACATTTGAAAAAAGAAATTGTCCTCTTCCAGTTCTTTCAATTTCCCTCAAATAAATGGATGATATCAGCCGTGGTCAACAGCTCAGCTGTTGTTGGGAGGTTTCCACCATTTGAGCCTGTTACTTTAATACCCAAGGAACACACCAGACAGGTCAGGGATGAAGTCGACGAGAGCTTTAAAGTGGCTTTCAACTAACAACTCATGAGCAGAAGCATGTGTAAGATACAGGGGGCAAAATAACTATATGGCACAAAAAAAAAAAAAGCAATAAACAAAGAATTACCATTTAAAACTGAAACTTCCAAATCAAAGCAAAAGCGTTTAACCATTTATCATCCATAGAGACTGTAAAGCTTTGCAAACCGTTTAATCGCTTCTGCATCACATTAGGCTACATACTGTACACACACATGCTTACATTCACGTAAACACTGAGACGGTATTTTATGGAAACATTATTTTATGCCCACATTTTAGGAGGAGCGGCGCGGTGGTAGACGGTGACGTGCTGGTAGCCTGTTAAATATGTTTACAGCATCAGTCTGAAACGTGCTCAGCACAGCCTAGCAGTCCCGGATACTTAATGAACGGACCCATTAACAACCTCTCAGCTTTAACCTGACCTCAATGAAAAGCAACAACCATCAGCAGCGTCTCTCCACCCTCGCCGCCCAGCCTGAGCAACCTCTGTCTCAGCAGGCTGAGGGGAAAATCCACAACCACTTTCTGTCAATTAACCACGAGTAAAAGCAAGGAGGCCTTCAGCTAATTTATCTGACCAGACCACATGTTCCCCATTCACCCTTAAAGAATGTTATCAGATTTTTCTCTCCATATGTCCTATTGATTCTCACAACAGCCATCAGACACCCAGAGTTATTCTGTTTACACTGGCAGCGAAACGAGCAGCTGACCTGAGTATCAATTTCAATACCGTTCACATAATGTGGGAATGGAAAACGTTTTCCGTTTTCCCAGAATATTATCAGATGAGAAAGTTTAACAATTGGTAAATATTTTACCCAATGGTCAGAAAAAAATAAAACAAACAAACCAAAAAAAACAGAACTGTTTTCACTGCATGCAGGATTTATGTTGAAGCACCGGACCAAAACAGCTGATATCTAAGTTTCAGAACGATTCCTGGCAAAATCAGAAGATTTTTTTATTCTAATTAGCTAATAAATTGAATTTATTAGATCTGGTTCTCTCGGCCCCTGTCTTCTGCATTGCTGCATGATTTCAGGACAAAATTTGTAATTTTTTTGTAAAGTAATTTTGAGCTGAGTCTAACTTTCAAAAATAACACGATAATCAAAAATGATTTTTAAAACAGACATGAGGGTTTAATGAAAAGTGTGTTTAATACTTCCTTAAATGTGTTTGAAAAACATAGTTTTAATCTAACAAACCAGCCTTGTGAGCAGGTCCATATAAATTATGGAATATGACTGTATATAGCGCATTTAAATACAATCCACACTGACAAAAGTGCTGAAAATAACACCTAAAACCATTGTAGATAGGCAACACAAGCAAAACATAAACTTCATTCAAAAACTAAAAAAAGGGAAAAATATGTAACATCTATTACTAATTAAGTACATGTAAATATTTATAGCGAGCTGGATTTGTTTGATACATACGCACTAAAGAATGGACAAGAAAAAATGTTGATTCAGTAACTCCAGCCACAACAGCCACGCTAATGCTTGAAATAAAGTCTAAAACGTCATCATCATTTTGTGTTTGCTTCAAAATAATAAATCCAGTGTGACGTCACTTCTACGTACTTGAATGAAGTGGAACAAAATATCGCTGGTAGGGCTTTAAGTCGGCTGCTCAAGGTTAAATTGCAGTTCGAATGTTCTTAGCAGTCGGTGCAATTAACCAACCATGAGGTTTAAAAGCCAAACGATGGTCCACTGCTGTTTATGGCTGGACAAACAGCAGGAACATGTTTACAATCATAACTAATCGAAGTTACAGCCTAATATTATTGGAACCCTGGGCCGATTCAGATCTGGAGTCATCTTTTGATTTTATCAATATGTTTTCAGTCACTGAAGATATTGTTACCGTGACAGCTTTTATGCAAGTACACCACCTGTTTTGTTGCTATTTTGCCAATACTGTTCATTGTCTATTGTGCAAAGTATAAATATTTTTCTAACATCACATTCTTCTAAAATTCAATTTTACAAAGGTTATACCCCTTTGGGTGGTGCCACTTCCTTTTATACACAAACTACTTGCAGGAAAGACAACTATCCATGCATCCAGTCATAATCTGACAGGTAATTTTGACTAAATAACCGTGTCTCTAAAATGACGACATTTCTGGAAGAAGTGTCATAATGCCAATAACCGCAGCATATAATAAAAATCTGAGTCTCAATTCAGGCAGCGAATCCCCCTGCTGCTCTTCAGCAACCTGGAGTTGCTGACACGTGTGTGTATTTGTCAGTGAAACACAGTATCCTGCTGACAAAGTTCACATGGAAATGAAATGTTTTCTCCATAAGAATCAAAAGGATTTAAAACCTTAGTTTCAGATGGCAGAAGGCTGATTAGTTGTGATGGTCTCAAATAGTTTTGAATGAATAATTTAGGAACAGAATAGAATAGAATAGAATAGAATCCACTGTGGCAGTAAGTGAGACGTTACTGTATTTAGTGAGGTAATGAGTGTAAGATACTGAATAAAATGCTTCACATTGTTACTGCATGCTCTTTGCAATTTTAATTTGTCAACAGCATTGTGCAAAAGGCCAAATGAAAACTCACAGTACTTAGAAAAAAACATGAGACACCCTCTGAGTAAAGTTGTGGACACATGTCAGCAATATTGCAGTAAATATTGCAACTGAATTGTAACACACAGTACTGTGAAACATTTGACCACATCCAAAATGAAAATCAGATATGCTTGCTTTTATGTTTTAAATAACAGATTTATAGAAATAATTCAACTCGAAATTCTCAACATAAATACTAGTGACTTCATGGAGCTTTTAAGCATCATCATGTCCCTCGTCGGAGGTTTAATATTTATTCAAGACTATTATTTTGGCAGGAAGACAATTCCTAATGTACCTAATGTTCCAATCATCTGCAAGTTAAATCTATAAAAAAAAAACGTTATTGATGGAGATCCTAGAGAAAAAGCTTGTGAGTGAGTTACATAACGCCACAGGGGTTACATAAGTGCTTCCTGTCAAGTTTCATAATAAGTTTAATACATCAGCCAAGAGCTCATCTGAAACTTTTTCACTGAAAAAAATAATGGAAACCACATTGGTTGATTTCTAGAAAAGAAGTATTTCATTTGTAAGTTTGGTGTATGGACTTCAAAAGTGTAATGTAATAATATTTTAATTTCTTTTTTAATCAAAAATTGGAAATCAGTTCTACCTTGTTGATGGCCACTTTAAAAGGGGGGAGGTTGATATAAAATCTACTTTTCTGAGCTTCATATCATGTCATAATCTTATTCCCTCATTAAAAACACAGCTATTTTATTTTTTTTGCATATGTTTGAGAAAACCTGGAAGCTCCCATTGCAGTAATGCAGGGCTCCTGCATGCCTACTCACACAAAGAGCCACCGATTTACCCAAAGCTCCACCATGGAGCTGCAGACTGAGCTTCAGCCCCACAGAGCATCCCACCCGCACGCCTCCCCCACTCAGCTCCTCCAGACTAGTGGCAACAGCCACTAGCAAAAATCCTGCTGCAACTGCGAGTCTGCTGAGCTCATCAAAGGAACGGCTTCTCGGTCTCAGCTATCTCTCAAAGAGAAACCTCTTTTTTTTTTCTTTAGCCCTGAATCTCCAGCCTTTCTCCTATTGTGACCAATAAGTATTTTATTTTATTTATTTATTGAAGGTGACATGTTTTTCTGCTTGCAGTCTTTCAATATTTTTGGGGTTTCTGTATAATTGGCATCAAGCGCTGTGGTTATCAAAGTCGGCAAAATTTGCGGTTATCAGTGATCCTCCTGAGCCGGCCCCCAGCGCAAGACCCTCCAGTCAAAGACTTACCACCGATCTGCGTGATGTTCCCCCACAAGCCGCCAGCTTTGTTTGACACGCTACATTCGGTAAAAGTGACTATCAGAATCACTTTTTATGACTCCTCAGCAGGCTAAGCAATATACTAAACCATGCATGAACACCCTGTTATGACATTAGTGTGACTAACAGCCGTGTTCATGATCAATAGCCTTAATTGTTTGTGTGAGTGCTGCCAGGAAAAGTACATCTGTAGACACACTGCAGATCAACACCAGCGCAGCAATTCAAGTAAACTAAACTGAGAAGCAGTCAAAACAAACCAGAAATCACGCTCCAAACTCAGCACAGCTGAATTTGTCTGCTATTCTATTGTTTACTGTCATAAATTGCTTTAATTAATAACATCTCGTTATTTGCAGGATGCTTTTGTAAACTT